AAGTGCACCAAAGTGGGCGGGGTTTGCCACAAAATTCATGACTCATAACGTCTTCTACAAGACCTCATAATTCGGCCCCGAGATGACTTAGGAACCTAAAAAATATGTGTAGAGGCTATAGAAGGCAATATAACACTGCAGCTACAGAAGCCATTTTTGAGCTCCTCAATCAACACCACAACGAGGTCAACATGCATGGACTTTCCATAGGTCAGCTAATGGTGCTACTCAGTGGAATGCCTCAATTGCAACATCTTCAGGTGGTCAGGAATGTATTTTGCGCAGACTAGAGGCCTAGCGATGGGACAACGCCTGGCACCTACTTTGGCCATCGCTTTCATGGCTAAAATAGAGGCGCCCGTATTGGAACGACTCCCATTGCTCTATTGTCGATACATCGACGATTGCTTTATAGTCTGCTCCACACAGGAGGAAATGGACCAATGTTTCGACTAATGAACCAGCAGGCTGAGCATATCAAACTAACACGAGAGAAGCCTTCCAACAAGTGGCTCCCATTCCTCAACGTCCAAGTCAAGTTTGAGGGAGGTTCCCATTTCACCAGGTGGTATAGGAAGCCCAGCAGCAAGAATATCATTGTTCATTTTCGTTCAGCACATCCTCTCCATCCTCGATTAGAGAAAGGAGTCCATAAAAACGAGCAATCATCAGGAACATGATCCGAACTGCCACAAAAGTCTGCACGGGAGAGGATGAGAGAAAGGAGTCCATAAAAATGGCACGAGAAATCGCTGGGCTGAATGGCTACAACCTTGCCCCACCTATGCATCGAAGCAGGGCAAGTGCGAGAGAAAACAGAAGGAATGATCCACTCTTTGGAAAAATTCCCGTGATACCCTTCGTCTCCGATGAAGTTAGCGCTTCTATAAAGAAGTGCCTGAGGAGATGGGGCCTTAACAACACTGTTGGCATCGTGGAGCTTCCACCCAACAACTTGAAGCGCCGCTTGTCCGGAATCGCCTTTACGATCGTCGATGCCTAGTCTCGGACTGTACAATTTGCCCTGCTGGAAGGGAAGGGGATTGCGCGCTGGCTGGGGTGGTCTACAAAATCTCCTGCAGAATATGCGGAGATGAGTACATAGGCGAAACGGCTAGACCACTTTATGTGCGGATCAAAGAGCATTTGGATGGCAAGGCTAAGGTCGCGCACTTCTACTGCGTTGGGTTGCCACAGGGTCCATGTCATAACGGGGACGATTCGGGGTCACGGTAGAGGTCCTGGAGCAAGAGACTCAAATTTCCGCGCGCCTCGAGGCATTCTGGATCCATGTCAGGAATCCAAAATGAACCGGAGGGAAGAATGCCTGTCAATTACGCGGGAGTTAGCCCCCTATATAAGTCTGGCTTTCCAACCGGTACCCTGAATACGGTCCACCCGAAGTCTTACTGTACTGTGCTTGTCGTTGGCTGGTCCAGTGGATCTGGTAAAGGTACGGTGTTTCTCACCTTGTGATTACGTGATGATTAGGTGGTGTCGAAGATCTAGTAGGTGTGTGGAGATTTTTGGTCGGATACTCATAAACTCGACTTCCATCCTTTTAGGCTCCGAAGAAGGCGAACTCGCCGAAACGTAGCCAATAAACTGTCAGTATCAACCTCGTGTGCAGTTCAACAAAGCTATACCATTCAATCACTAATATGCCGAGGTTCATAGAGAGTCGAACATGGCGTCACTGATAGCTTTCTGAAATAACTCTCTGTCAGAATTAGAGAATACTGGATAGTAGAGCTTGAATTCATCCGCAAATGCAATTAATTTAGATATTTTTATTCCTGCGCATCGGAAGGAATCTCTTGACAAAAATGATGGCTAATGAAGATAGCTCTGGCCTTGACTAAACTATACACATAAGCACTACTGGATTCGACAAGGAGGAAAGCTGCCCGCAGGAACAAAAGCAGGCCTTCGTCAAGAAGGACTTTTTAGTGTTTCTGATGAGGTTGCAAACTGATTCGCTACAGAAAGCTGCTGGATACCTGCACCACGGTGACGACCATTGTCGGCTTTAACTAACCTTCGAAATTTGGCCGAAGCCATGCGTCAAGTTCACGCAGAAATTCTCGATACGGTGTTACCCCACCCTAACCCATATCTGCGTTGGATCGAAATATCAAGAGATTTCAAGAGATCGTGGATTTTGATCGGGAAATTTTGCAGTGCTTGGCTTAGTTTTTTTTACTCGCCCGACTTAGTCTTTTCTAAATATTAAGTAATTATGCACCGGTGCGCTACCTAGAAGAGAAAAATCCAATGATTGAGGTCACCTCGAAAATTGGATGAAGCGCTTCTTTTCAGAAGCAAACGCCGGATTTCTAAAGTAAGAGAGTTGAGAAGTTGCCCAGAAAAAGTACACGTCTCCTACGTGCTACCGGTGATAACCTTGCTGATTGAATATCCCATTCAACAAAAGAAGGTACAATCAAAAATCTTGGACAAAGGGTCCCTCATAATAGACTTTTTGCAAATTCCAAGTCTAGAAAGAACCTCTAAGATTAGCGCTTCCAAAATACCACCGACACTTTTCTGAACTACTCCTTCTAAATCTATCGCTCCGTCTTTTCCCTTTGTCGTTTTTAAGCCATTGTCCTGAAACGTAAGTTTTCTACCTTCAAACGCCCATAAGTTCCTTCAAAATTACGAGAAACGAAGCGGTAAAAGCGGTTGAAATCCATCAGACCAGCGCTTCATAGCATATGCTAGATTTTCCTAAAAAACATTGAGATGGAGCCTTTTTTTGCCAGAATCTTCTATTAGAACACTTGAATCAATCCGCCCAATCCGTTGCACTTTCTTCCACTTGGTCTGAAAGCACCGAAACTTCTCTAAAGGGATCGGTTTACTCGCGCTCACTGGAAGATACTGTGCTTTAGTAAAAACTCCTGCTATAGGATGCGCCATTCAATCGTCAGTGGTGAGTAGTCGTGGTGGTTGGAAGTCGGACCTCCGTGTCACTTTCCATGCTTCGGTACCTACGAATTTTGAGACTGTTACTTCAGCTTACGGTCCCTCCCTTCCATTGGCCAAATACCCCCCTTCGTTGTTTGTTACGCATTTTTCATTTGACCCTAAGTGGGACAAAACAAAACTGCTTCCATTTTCTCGCCCGCAGCATTCTGATATCTGGCGCTCTCTGATCCGTTGTGCCTCTCACTTATCTTTCTTCCCTGTGCTCACTTCAGCATTTTAAAAAAATTCAATTGCTTTTCGCTTCCAACCGACTTCATGTCAACGCTTTCATGTTCGTGTGCAAACCATGCCCATCTAATCCTGTGCGTGCCTCTGCGCCAAATGCGAAAACAACTGCTCTCAACGAATTTTCGACAGTGGTCAACCATCTCCCTACAATCTCAAATTGACACTGTTCCGAGCTTTCTAGTGATAAGCTTTCTTAGCATAATCACTTCGTACTACTGATCTTCTAGTGCGTATTTAACCAGGGTTAGCCTTACGATGGTTTTCTTAGCAGTACTTTTTTTGAGTGGTTTTTCTGGCAGACCATAATTTTTTACCAGGTTACTTTCTACCGAGTGTTTCTTCCACAGTAAAATTGTAAAACATTGAACATTAAATCATTAAAACCCCACCATTATGTTAAGAAACAATGAAAGGCTCTTGCATCACATCCTTTGCATTACCTTTTCATCCATCTAACAGTTATGTGCTAGTAACAACGGGAGATTACCTCTCCTTAGGATATTCTTTAATTGAGAACTTATCAAGAGGTTTCCAGTTGCCGGCAGACTGCTCGCTTGTCTCTAGCAATTTCAGCCATTCCGAAACCGCGCGACAACTCATTGGCTGCTCAACTGTTTAACAATTCTCATGTCCTTCCTGATCAAAGCAGTAGTATCTACTTCTTCTTCTTCTTCACATTTTATCTCCTTCAAAAGACTTAGGAGACAACAAAACTCACCAGCAAATGAATATGACTCAAGGCGTACAATCAGATGTGGCAACTGACTCAGAATAATAACTAATGCCATATATTTATTGAAAACAGAAAAAGGGATGGGATGGGATGGGATGGGATCGGGTTGGGGCGGGATCAAATGAGTAGGTGAACATTCACACGCAAACGTCTCACATCCTGAATTTCAAACACATACACGCAAATTTTGCAGAAGAACAGATGAAAAAACTCTGAACAATTGAGCACACTACGCAAAACATCAATCAATAACAGTAACAAACTCGAAATAACAACTGTACGCTTTCCTCACAGGGGAATAACAACGAAATAGCGAACTCGTCCGCTTTTGAGAGCAACCATGAACAAATTTCGCGCGCTAAAACGAAACATTGACAGTAAAACATACTGTACCGTTAGTACAAGATTGTATGGAACACGTAGGAGGCGAATTCGCGCATTTTTGGCAATCAAAAGCTCTCAAACCCGTCGACGAGATGGGGCACAATACTCACATAACTGTTTATCACCGCTTGCACACGCACTGTTTCTGGAAGCATCAAAAACTACAGAGACGATCACAAGCTTTTACAGCCGTCTCGGAACAAAAATCCTGTCACTTCTTGTGGACGATAAGCGAAATTCGCCACTATGTTCAGCGTGACACGATTTCTGAAGAATTCAACGAGCAGAGCCTATGCAACGCGACTCCTCACATGACAGAATTGCATATCACAGAAACACTAGCTACTAAACAGGTTATACTTGCGAAGAGATAATTCTACAATATGGTTATGAGTAACTACATCTACACAGCTCGACGAAAAAAATGATAAAAATCTGCAGCTCTTTCTTCCACTCAGTGCCTTCTCACAATATCCCGGGGTCAAATGGGCCATCTTTTCTACACGAAAAGCCGATTGTTTTCGCATCTTTTTCTGCAACAATCGGTTCCTCGTTACAGGGAATGCGTGGTTTCTGTATGAAGAGTCTCTCCAACTTGCAGAAACCAAGACTGAGGGGCATATAGGGCAAATGGCATTCACACTGGGTCCGGGAAGGAACATCCTCAGTTAAAAGACCATCCTTTTGCGGGTTGTTGCACTACACCTCCTTCTTGACCAGTCGCAATGTCATCGTCGCTGTTCGAACTAAATGGGAAGAAAATAATTTCAAATAAAAAGAAATGATGAAAAACACAATATCAGTCAAAACATGACAAACTTGAAATATGTGTCAATAATCTCGTAGGTGAGCTTGTATATCTCCTCATTGTCATGATTCTGCAGTTGTTCAATTTTATCCAGCCCTGAAATTTTCATTTCATCATCTACTGCGTAAATATGAAAACGAATCGGTTTTACTATCGAAATGAAACCAACCTCCACACTCTTCGATCTGTGTACATATCGCCTCAACACCTGCACCGGCCATCTTCAAAATGTTGTTTATACCATCCAGAACAACCTTAAGCAGAAGCAAAGTAGTGGTATTGCTTTCACAAGGCCTTTCGATAGTCAGCAACTGGTGCAATTCTAAGAAACAGAAAGAGAGCAAGAAAAGTGCCAGTGATGAGCCCGAAAGAAAAGCTTTCAACAGGAAAGGAAAATAACTTTAACAAGAAAAATTCACCAGAAACACGATCAAACCATGTACGCGATACAGTGTCACCTACTATCACAAAAAGCGATGATCTAAACCAAACCATGGAAACCATACCTGGATAATTTGAGGCTCTTTGCAGTCAAGAAGAGCGCAGAATGGACGAATCACACCACAGTTCACCATCTGTTCCACCTGATCTGGACGGCCGGAAATCGTGACGTTTGATACGGCCCAAGCTGCCTCCTGAAGAGAATGTGAACGTAATCAAAGCTTGTACAATAACCTCTCCACATATGAATGCGGAACTGTATAAGTTAAATTCAAAATGTGCAAAATCGAGGTAATTCGATGTTGACCAAAAAAAGATTTCAAAGAATAGAGGCATGGAAAGGCTCCCCCATTTCTTCACGATTGGGCGCGGCCGCGGCGAGCGCGGACGAGTCGATAGTGCCCGCGAACTGTGCGGGTAAATTTGAAAACGCATCACCACCACAGTTCGCGGGCACTATCGACTCGTCCGCGCTCGCCGCGGCCGCGCCCCAAATCGTGAAGAAAGTGGGGAGCCGCATGGAAACGATTGCTGTAGACAGTGAACATTTTAGTTCGATTGATGTGTTACCTCTGCATGTTTGACCGCACCCAACATAATCACTATATGAAATCGACTACCTTTTACCCATATTTCGTAACTAATTGCACGAATCCTTTAAACACTCTCGTGAACTTCTAAATTAGAGAGGCACTAGAGATCAGAGAGATACCACTGCTTCCATTTCTAACATTGTTCGAGCTGCTGGTTACCCATTTTCTTGAAGGGTTTTCTGCAGTACTGTTTTAGTTTGTTTCGTTGCATTAGATTCGATTGTGCACGTCGTTGAAATGAAACACTAGTCATTTGGGAGATGTTTCCTTGTTTTTGCCGGTCCTACCCCATGTACCCTCCCTTCAAAAAGCGAGAAAGTGTCGGGTGCAGACCATGCACCACAAGTGACGACGGCCTTCACAAAATGTTAATGTTTTCTGCCAATGAAATGATTAGCCTGTTGCAGTTGTATTCTATCGATTGTCACTAATTACAACTATCATTTACCAGAAATCAGCTATCACTATGAAAACTTCTAACCAGATTTACTTGGAGGCCGTCGTCAGTTGTGGTGTTTGGTCTGCACCCGACACTTTCTCGCTTTTTGAAGTTGAGGTTAGTTCTATTTTCCCTTCGCCATAACATTACATGCTTCGGTGTATCTGTGCTGTGCTATCTGCCCGTCTAAGTCTAATCTAATTTGTATAGATGAAGCGGGTCTATTGCCGTCTTATTTTGGATTTCACCCCGGATTGCCACTATGCCAAGGTAGGACTGAATTATTTTTAAATTATTCCCTCACTTGACTGCTCTGGAGCAACACCGAGCCAGCTTTTGAGTCAGTGTTTAGGCCAGTGAGATGCACCGGCATCCGCCCACATGGTATGCCACGGGATTGGTTATCTTCATGGTTCTTAACGAGGCTATCTCGGTGAGATTTTCTATCACATAAAAAGTATTAGTCCGCTTCACCCTAGTCTGAAGCATGTGCTGTTTATGGGAATTCGATATGATATGATAAAGTTTAGTTTATGAATTCATTCTTTCTAAGCCAATTACAGGGAACCTCTTTTTATCTGGCCTCTTCTTATTCTGATGAGCTCAGTTATCATTTGTTTCTATCTAACAGATCATAAACTTGAACACCAGTCGCGCAAATAGATGAACTAATTGGCCGATGTCAGACTTTGCGATTGGAGCGATTTTGCACCAATTGCAGGAGCGACGGATCGCTTGAGCGATGCGAGCGACGGGAGATTTACCCCGCCGAATACCGATACACACGGCGCGCTCGGTAAATCTCCCGTCGCTCGCATCGCTTGAGCGATCCGTCGCTCCTGCAATTGGTGCAAAATCGCTCCAATCGCAAAGTCTGACATCGGCCAATGCGTTAAAATCCCACTAACAGCTCGGCTTTCATTTCTGAGAGAAGGCATATGCTCTTTTGCTTGCCCGGCTTTTTTTTTCGTTCGACAACGGTTTTTAAGGAATTCCAATTTGAGAAGAAAACATAACAAAACAACGAAGTTAGTAATTTCACTTGAGTAAACGCCAAGCGTACTTATCCACAGGCTTTCGGAGTAATTCATGAATGCATACCTTTTGTGTTGGGAAGTCAGCTTTTCCAAGCAAATTGATGATCAGAGGCATAAGACCAGCATCGAGAACTGCTTGCACCTGGTTTTGGTTACCAGCGGTGATGTTCGACAAGAACCACACAGCCTCCTAAATGTGATCGTCATGATTTCCACTACATATGATACACCACTAATCCCTACTTTATTGATCTTCTCCTTTTGATGTGAAAGAAGTTGCGGCATTTCTTGGAGCACGCCACAGTCGAGCACGAGCTGCGTCTGCTCATCAGATCCTGTGACGATATTTCCAACGGCTCGCAGGGCTGCAGTCTGCACTTTCGCGTCGGAGTGGCCAAGCATGGGCACCAAAGACGGAACGATCTAAATTGCAATAATAACAAATTTAGTGTAATGCATTGAAATAGGTCACATTTTGTCACATGTTTCCTGAGTCACATCAAAACATAAGTGTACACCCACTCCGCTATCGATGACCATCTGTATCTGCTCGTTTCCACCATCTGTGAGATACGAGAGTGCCCATACAGTGTCGACAAGAATATTGGGGTCCTATAAAGTCACCGATAACATCTGTTAAGCAGAACGACGTATGATATGACACTCACGTCATGATGAATTAGCAGAACAAGGGCTGGCAAAATGGTTTTCACGATCTCTGGAGTAGGTGGTGGGTCCTTTGATCGGCATAAATTGACCTAAACCGTTGCCAACTATTTACTCTGAGCGTTTCGCACCAAAAAAAAGAACAGCGATTAAGGATTAAGAAGAAAGAGGACTGATATAACTCACAATGACCCAGGTAACGTTTCGTAGGAAACCGAGAGGAATTTCAGGCGTAATAAAATTGAGAAGTAACGGCAGAATCCCCAGTCCAAGGCAATAATCTCGAAAATGTGGTCCGTCTCCTGAAAAGGATGAAGGCTTAAATCTAATTCAATAAACTGACTTATAATAGTCTCCCAACAAATTTCAACCTCGCTCAAAAAACAAGGAAGAGCCATCTAGACATCGACTCCTGTGGACATCGATGCGACCTTTGTCAACGCTTAATGTTTTTACCATCTCTTGGTTAGCCGAGGTCGAATGAGTTCATTAAACTTTGCAACTAAGGGGCTGTTTCTCACAGATGCTAAATGGACCTTTATCCCTATATGACCAAGAAGGAATGAACTGATCAATCGAGCCTGATCAAGTTCACAATCACTTGTGCCACGTAAAACTTCTGTAGTGCCATTTACCACGACGTCCACACGAATGACCGCAGAGGGCTTTTGTAATGCACACAGCTCAGTATTTTATCATGAAGCAATAATCAAACGATCGCACACCGACCGATAATGTTGCCAAGAGCCCATACTGCTTGTTCGCAGACGTTCATATTGCCGCTTGATAGTAACTCGAGAAATAATGGAACTGCACCAGCATTCACCTAGGCTTGTAGATTATGTGATTGTGTCAATATGTAGAGTTGCTGGAAACGTAAGAAATCTTGAACTCACAACAGCCTGTGTTTGTTCCGAGGTTCCCGAAGCGATATTTGTGAGCGCCCATGCCGCCTCAAACTGTAGATTTACACTGAAAACATAACCTAAAGAGCCATAAACAGAGATATGAAAACATGCAACTAAACAAAAGATAATAAAGTTTACTCGTCTGAAACGAGGCAGTTGACAAGAATGGGAAGGATATCGCTGGAGATGAGGTCATCGATAGGCGGATTCCGATCAGATGACAACATTTTGCGGGCCTAAAAAGAGAAGTACCTAATAAATGAAGAAATTATCTGAAGAATTAACAAATACGCGTACTTGCTGAACGGCTCCAAGTTTGATGCTTGGGTCTTCACTCCGCGCCATCATAACAATTTGATGCAACATGTTACTGTCAAAGGGTCCCTTTTGAGTTGATGTCCACGCATAATTCTCATCTCTAAAGTAGTGACGGATAACTTTAACGTCATCGACCCCTGAATCAAAAATAAGAACTCACGGAACATTGATGTTGCGACGTTTCGAAAGTAGATCTTCCCTCTTGTCTTTTCGAATCGTGACAGCCTGGAAACCGTGACCATATAAAAGTACCGGTCTAGTTCACCTTTCAAAGAGACGTCACAAATGTTCACGCAACATTTTCGGAATCATTCCCCATATGTTTACGAGCTTGAAGCATTTTTCGAACAAAGCCCTGTTGGAAGGCTGTACCCGAACACAATTCAGTTTACACATGGAATTTTCTGAAAACTTGGATGTGTCGCTGTCTAAACCCCTACAGCGGACGTGAGCGAATCGCGGTCGCAGATAAGGTTAACAAAACAACGAATCGGTAATTGCCAGAAACGGCAAGTTTTCAGTGGATGCAATAGTGCATGTGTTTTTACATACCACATCAATGCAAAAACTTATTGATTTTACAGCATGTAGACGAGCAGTTCTATACGGACACATCGTTGGGTTTCGCCTACATTCGGCCAGGTGATCAAGTAGAGGCAGCGCAAGCCGCGGTTCCACTACACCATAAACAGCCACTGAGACAAAGGAACTACGAACATGACCCTTCTTGGCCCAACAAGGAGGTAAAAACAACAGTATAACTGCACTTTTTTCATGGACTTATGGCTTCATAAAATGATATGCGGAACTCGGTTTTACTCATAACGCAACATTCCTGTAAAACTTTCGCCGGTTAGTCGAACTGCGGCTTTAAACCGGGTAAAAAACAGAAAAAGACAAACTACGGACCTCGTCGACTCTGCTATTCTTCAGGATCGTATCCTTTCCTTTGTTCTTGTATTGCGTTAAGCGAGACGAATCGGTCGGGTTCATTTCTGAAAAGGATAAGGTTAGCCAATCAGATAAACCAACCAAACCGCAAGTTCAAGAGTCGAATTCACAAATACAAACAGTTCCAGCTTGAAAAATAGAGTATTCTCAGGAAGACGCAATGAAGCATTCCTGACTGAGGAGTAACCATCTCTCAAAACGAAAGGCAATTATGTTCATCAAAAGAGAATACATCGGAAGGTAAGAGACCAGTTAAGTGCAGATAGCTCATTCAAATAGGGGATTAGAAAAAAGATGATTGTTCAACAAGCCGACTATTATTTCAATCGTTCTAGAGTTTGTTGTGAAAATCTCGCATTTCGCAATGGACGTTTAAATACAGGGCGCCGTCACAGCGCAGTCAGAGCTCACGTGACGGAGTCAGTGGCTTTGTTATAAACCGCAAATATACAATATAATAAACATGAATTTGGTAGTTGAAAAAAACTCCTTCCGTGAATTGGAACAATCCTCATACTTCTTTCGAAGAAAAGAAAGCTCACCTTTCTAGAACGCCTGTCATTGCTGTCATATTGTTCTGAACAACGCTATAGCAGTAATTTGAGAAAAAAAAACAATAGAAAACCTGGACCCATAGAACTGCGTGAAGTTCGTCAAATGAGCGTGTGATACACAGGCCTTCGCCTGCTAGCTCTACGTCTCTACCATTCGGCTAGAACGTCTGGCACCACATTGTGGAGTCAGCAGATTCAATACAAATGACTCCGTGAGAAACTAAGCGGCAAAATTACACTCAGCTGATTACCTAGTGGGGGTCAAACGAACAAGGCTAAACGAAGAATGACATGGAGGCAGCTGGGAGGGAATTTGCAGCAATTTAATAATTCCCAGGAGCACCACATATTCGTAGTAAACATTACAAGAGATTCAACGTTATTGTAATAGGGAAATCAATAGGAAGAGTGGGCTGAGCGCAAATGTGACAACAAATCAGACGCGCCTCTTCATGAGGACGCCGCGGGCGCGGTAGCCCTCGACGATGACGTAACCAGCCCGAGTAGCAAGTAACCCCGTTTCCTTCAACCAATATTCACAACTTTATAAACAGCATAATTGGAAACATAAGATGAGCCTACTTTACAGTTAACGAACAGATTACCCTGGAGAATAGCTGCCTTTTAGATTAATACCTCTAAGCGTTATAACATAGGCACTTGTGAATATTTGAACAGAACCTTCGCGTGCGAGAAACCAAATGCGCTAAGCTTCTGTCTACTTAACTGACGACAATGGATGAAAAATCAAGACATCTGATCATGTGAGTGCGGCAGGCAGAGTGGGCGAAACCAACTGTTTACTGCTAACCTTCGAATTGATCAATTGGGAGATATTTGAGCAATCAGGAAGAGAAGTCACTACCTTATCCAACAAAGGTTCCGAATCATCGCTAGAGTAGGTTTAACAAGGAAATCCTACAAAGCAATTGTTGCAAGTTTCATCACGGATTCAAGATAGTGTTACTGACGGGGAGGGGGACATTCGAAACTATGACAATCATTGTTATTTTCATACTGTCACCCTCAGATAGTTCCCTTCTTGCACAATTGACTGGTTCACCCACCTATATTGCGCCGCGATGCCAATCCTCTCTAAACCGCATTACGCCACATTTCGGTCTTATGTGAAAACACTAAAATTGGCTACAAATTAGGAAAATGTGAACGGAATTTCGCGCTATTAACGGAACGGCACTAAAAAGGTCGTCCGTTAAGCCATTTCTCGATCCACAAAACCAAGCAATTTCAGACAATAACCGGTCACTTATTAGCGATTGTTAGATATCAATCAACAACAAAAATAAGCACGTATTCAAACAGGGTAGGATGCAAACATTAGAAGTAACCCACTTCATAAAAGGTGCGAAACAAGGGGCAGATGAAAAGATACCAACAGGCAATGAACAAGAGTAGAAAACAGAATCGTTGATATCCCCCTACCTTTCCCACCTCCAATTGACAGAATGTATGCAATCTCGCTTATGTTCTGTATTTAGGTGAATCAGCATATCGATTTGGCGGTCGTCTAGAACATTTTATGCGGAGGAACTTGTCGAGGCATTCGCGTCGGAACCAATCGATGCGTACGCAGACTCGTCCAGTTGACCGCCGAGCGCGTTTTCTGTAGTCATTATCTTGCGACATGTGCGTCGGAGAGCAACTCTTGTTGATCATGATGTTTGGTTAAGTTGTCGGCTTTCTCTTTGCTGTCTTGTTTTGATATGATTGAATACAGAGTTTTGCAGTGTTCTGCTCGCTCACATCTGTCTGTATCAACTGTTGAACTAAATAGAGTGTGCCACAGAAGAACACGACTTAATATCGTTACTGAAACCTAAGAAACCACTGAGTTCTGTGCAGCTGAGGGTAAATAGAGAACACAAGTATCAAGGAATTGCTGAGTTGCCTTATGGAAGTTTTTTGTGGTTCTAGGTCAGAAATACGCATTGTACGGATTCTATAAGTCGATTTTTGCACTCAGTTGGACTTCGTTGTTAAATGCTTTTGACTGGGTGGTTTGTGAAGGTAACGCCATGGGCGGACGAGTTTCTCTCGTTTTTTCGTCTGAGAAGCACACTACAAAATTTATTTGTTGGTTATTTGTTTGAAAAGGTCGAAAATCAGGTGAACGTAGACTTCATTATTCTTTTATAAATTAGAAATGGTTCCAATGACTGTTTGGTCATTCTTGAGTCACATCATTTCCAAATAACATCTTATTTTTCATTGATGATGACGGTTCGCAAAC